CCCTTTCTCCGTCCCATGTAGGCGCCTGGGATGGATAACAATTTTCCGGTTGAGGGTTGCCTTCCTGAAGGAAAGGATCCGAGGCAATCTCCCTGCCTGCTGCCCCAGCACATGCCAACCCTCTTCTGGGCCTTGAATCTGAGAGTTCTCTTGTGTGTGTGTCGGCCTGACTGAATGGGGGACCCAGAGAAGAAGGTCATGGCCTTCTGGGAAGGAATCTAGGTGATTCTACACTGCCCCCCGCCTCCCCCCATCTATTCCTCTATATTCCAGAGTCAAGCCCACTGAGAGGCTTGGAGAATATGTGTAGCCTAGACCCAGTCCCCCCCCAGGCCTCTCCCCACCCATACCCACACCCTGCTCCCCTCCCCCAGCTAGGGACCCTGGGATGGGCAGCTTCCTGCCTTCCCCATGGGGAAAGCGGGGGTGGTGTGCAGGTGGGCGGGCCCCTGCCCACATCCGGTGACTGCGAGAACCTCCCTTCGGAGCCTTTTTCCCTCCACTCTAAGCCCAGTGGCACCCATGCCCTGCCTGAGACCCTGTTCTCACCACTGCTCTGCCCTGCCCTCCTATCCCTGCAGGCCCTGAGGGAAGCATGAACACCCCGTCTCGGGCCAACAGATCCGCCTGACCCAAGTGTGACCCCCATATGTATTGAGGGTGCAGGTCTTACCTCCTGCAGGCTGGGGCTGGGGAGGGGTGGCTTTGTGGGGCGCTAAGGGCACCTGATTATGTGGATGGCATCGTGATGTGCTGGCCCAGACCCCCTTCATGCACCTGCTCCTCCGTGGCCTCTCTGGGTAGCACCTAGAGAGGAGCCACAGCTTCGTCTGAATGCCACTGCTGTCCCGAAGGGAAGGGAGTTTTCTGGGCTGGGGTCAGGGAAAAAGTCCTTTTCTTACGCTGGAATTCAGAACTCAGAGTTTTGGGCACTCACCGAAGGCCCTGACAGGAGCCCCAGTGCCCCGAGTCAGTCCCAGACTCTTGAACAAACCTCTGGGGCTGGCGCCATGGGGGTGGGTAGGCCTGGGGTCCCGGAAGCCACCTGCCCGGGGTGTGTGAGATGGTCTCTTCAGCCCCCCTCCTGCCAGTACCCAGCCTTGTCTCTGGTTTCCTGTCAGTCTGTCCTCCCCAGGGAGGGGAGGGGCACGCTAATCTCTGAAGCCGTGTGGGGGCGGGCTCCAAGACCGTTGGGCGCCCTGAGATCTGGCCCACGTGGCCTCGGGGTTATAAGCCCTGCCCGCCCTGAAGGGAACCCCACTTGGGAGCCTGGAGCACAGGGCTTGCTCCCCTCAGCCCTGCAACATCAGGTAGGGGTCTGACCCTTCACCTCAGCCCCAACGGGGACTCATCGACTCTGGGCCTCAAGGGGCGATGAGGGGCTTGGGCTGCAGCCCTGGGTGGAGATGGTTTTGGGAGGGGCTTCCGGGGCTTGGGTGCCTGCAAAGCTCACCAGCAAAGCTTTAGGCAAAGCGGTGCGATAACCCTCAGGTCCACCGCCTTCATGGTGGGACAGCTTCTTAAAGCTGTGGGCCTTGACTTCCCTCTGGACAAGGAAGAGAAAATGGCCCCTGGTCCCCAGATGAAGAAAGCCGGTCCAAGGCTTCTAGAGCCAAGAGCCAGAGACAAGGGTGGGGATGGCAGAAGGTGGGCAGAGGGTGGGCAGAGGCTGAAAAGTGGGACTTGATGTCAGTGAGAGGCCCTAAGCATCTCCCTCCACCCAACATGGCCACCAGCTCCGTTGCGATAGTCTTGGGCTTCCCACCCAGCAGGGAAGGGCTCAGGGCCTTGGGCTGGTGAGGAGGCTGGGAGCCAAGGACTTGGGGGAAGGAGGCTGGAGACTGAGGCCTTGAGGGGAAGAGGCTGCGGCTGCCTCAGTTGGACTCTGGAGGGTGGGTAGTGTGTCTGGCAGGGGTCACTCAGGGGGTCAGAATTGGGGACTGGGGTGAGACCTGATGAGTAGTGGTGGTCTCTACCTGAGTGGCCCTGAAAGTGGGGGGATGGGGTGGAGCCCCAGGGGGAAGGGAAGAGGGAAGCAAAGAGGAAGTGGGGGGAGGGAGGTAGGAGGCAAGGTCTGGCGCCATGCTGAGTCACCGCCCACAGCCCAGGGCGGGCCCTCTGGGGGCCATGGGGCTAGGTGCTGGGGTCTTAGGAAGCCACTGGGAGGGTCGGGGAGGGTTGGGGGCTCTTGAAACAGGAGTCAGGAGGAGGAGCGGGCGGCCTGAAGAGACCTACAGACGGACAGACAGACAGTGCAGTCACCCATAAAGTAGAAAGCACTACTAACAGCACTGGAGGGTGTAGTGTTTCCTACTTTATGGATGAGTGTACTGTGGGCTTCGGAGACCACGCCGCTGCCGCCGCCTGCCACCGTCTTCCTCCAGGCTCGGGACCACGCGTGACAGGTGAGCCCCTCAGGCACCCTCCCCGCCCTGCCCAGAACCCTGAAAGGCCTCCACCGCCCCCATGGCGCTGTCCTCCTGGTATGGCCAACCGGGGAAATGCCACATCAGCTCCTCTGCTGCCCGAGGTTTGGGAGGGCTGGGCATCGGCGCCTGATGCAGCTGCGGAGAGGCTCCAAGTGGGGGCCCAGCCGCCTGGACAGCCACCAGGACGAAGAAAAGGCGGGAAAGGAGGGTAGATGGAGGGGAATGTGGGGTGGTGTCTGGGACCCCAAACTAATAAACAATGGACTCTGCTTCTCTTTTGTCTGAGACTTTGTTGCCGGGGATTGGGTGAGAGGGGGTGGACGAATGGGCTTAGTGGGCACATGAAGGGGTGGGCACACAGAGGGGCTGGGAGAAATGGGTTTGGCCTTTTACGAGACCAGAAGAGGGCTCAGGGCCTGCCAGGCCGCAGCTGGCAGCGGGAGGATGGGCCTGGGGTGAGACCTCCCGGCAAATCCAGTAAAGGGGACATGACATGGAGGGGCAGGATTATGAGGGGCCTTCCCAACTTTTACCCTAGCTCTGGCACTGCCCTGCCCTCCATACCCCCAAACTGAAGGCTGCTTACCTCCAGTTCTAAGCTAAGAAGGCCTAGGGTTCCTGGGTAGTATAAGAATTGGGCACAAACACACTGGCACGTACACACGCAAAGCACCAGTTACTAATATACAAAACACACACCCCAGCACGCATGTGCATTTATACACAGGGGCCCCATACACATGCTATCGACACATGTGTACAAGGACATATACATGGGACATGACTGGCATGTCACAGAATGACACAGGGATATACACGCTCAGAACATACATATTCAATAGTGAACACACACACAATGATATAAACATGTGTGTCACAAGCAGAAGAGCATACAAATACATACATAGTGACATTCACATAATAAACACATTGATTCCAAACACACACACAGAGTGACACATTCATACACAATGATAACTATACAATAAATACATGGTGATATATAGACATAAATAAAACCATGTCATTACCCATACTGACTATATGAGAATGTGTCATGTATTGTGTAGTGCCATATAATGCCATTCATATACACATATGGCATATGTGTTATAATTTTTAAAATATATTTTATTACTTTCAGAGAGGAAGGGAGGGGGAGAGAGAAATAGGAACACCAATAATGAGAGAGAATCATTGATTGGCTGCCTCCTGCATGCCCCCTACTGGGGATCGAGCCTACAACCTGGGCATGTGCCCTTGACCGGAATTGAACCCGGGACCCTTCAGTCTGCAGGCCGACGTTCTATACACTAAGCCTAACCAGCTAGGGCAAGTGTTATCATTTATACATACACACAATCATAGCCTTACATGCACATACAAATACAGGCACTGTGGCAAGTAGACATATGCAATGGCATACACAGAAACATACAAACCCAATGAGACCCATAGACACAGAAGATCACATGCATAATACATATGTGTGTGCATATATGAAATAATACCATGGCCCCACACATATACAGAGATAAGTACATGTCTATTCTATATATGCTGACTATACATCTGTATGCACATAATGCTATGCATTTATACTGACATACACAACAGCAACACACATCAGGTAGTGGTGCACACTCTGATCTGCCCACTGCTTTAGGAAAGTGAGGATGGTGCCACCTCCCCGTTCACCCCACTCACAGCTCCAGCTGCTCTAGCCTGGCTGGAGCTCATGGTTAGGGACTCCGTGGTTCAGTACGGCTGCGGCTGTTCCCCAGGGGCGCCACCGGAGGGCCCCCGACCTTGGCTGAGGCTGGCTTGTGCGCAGATGGACCGAGTCCCAGGTTCAGAGGGGCCAGGGGCAGCCTCCCTGAGGCCTCTCCCAGCACCTTTGTCTCTGAGGACTTCATCTAGGCTCCTGCCCCCATGTACTGGACGACTTGTAAGTGGGGGAGTTCCCATGTCCTTGTCCAAAAAAGCCATTTTCCCATAGCAAAAAGGCCTCCGGCTACACAGAAGACGAACTTCCTGACAGTGCGGAGCATAGCAGCCCGAAAGACCATGTGGTCTCCTCTACTGGCCGGAGATGGCCGAGTGGCCCCCAAAATACTCCCTGCCGGGAGGAAGCTGAAGCAATTCTCTCAGCCTATTTCTGTCTCTGTCTCTTTGCTTCTATCTTCCTGTTTTCATTCTCTTAATTTCTGTTTCTCTTTGTTTCATCTCAAATCCCATTTTTTTCTATTCCTGCCCTTCTTCGTGGCTAGAGCTCTGTCTATCCGTCATACCACCTCCTGTCTCTGTCTCTGTCGTCTTGGGCTGGGGCCGATGTGGGGAGGACCCGCTGCAGCCCCCTTGCCTGTGTACCCCGGGAGGTATGGGGGTGTGTGGGAGGTCACATGTGGGGGGCATTATGCTGGGATCCCGTGAGGAACCTGCTCTTCCCTCTGTCCCGACCCTATCTGCCGGTCCAGCCCACCAGTCCAGCGCCATCACCATGGAAACCGGCAGCCGACTTCCTATTGGTGGGCGGGAGGGGAGGGGGAGGGGAGAGGACGGCTGGCTCTTCCCTGCTCACCCCCTAGATTCTAAGGCTCAGCCTTCTCCGCGCCCATCATCTCGGGGGTCGGGGCTGTAGGGGACCCCCTGCAGTCCCCGGAGCTGAGGCCAGCAGGGATAGAGACTATGAGGCGAGCAGCCCACCGACCCAGGCCTCCTTAGGATCAGCCGGGCTGCCCAGCAAGCTATCCAGCTAGCAAGCAACAGCGGAGAGAGGAGCGGGAGATAAAGGACCACAGCGGACCTTTGGGGATCACCCCCAGCAGCCTGCGGACCCTAAGCCGGCTGAGGGGTCGTGATGGATGGCCAGACTCACAGACGCTGACGGACACACAATGACACCGATGCACACAGCTGCACAACACTGAGATGCTCGGATACAAGCAGTGACAGCATCACATACTGCCACAGCCCTGCAATACAGACACCCACACACACACAGAAACAGCTGGTAACTCCGAAACAGGCGCAGACAGTGACACGCAGAACCGCTACCCTCCAACACACACAAGTGGGGATACCACCCTCCAAACGCGCACCAAGACAGCGCTGACCTGAACAGACAGACCGGGAGACACGCACACCCTCACCCAGGCTCTGCTGTCGGCGGCTTCTGCACATCCTCCCAGCCCTCACGGGGACAGCCTGGCACATACACAGCCACAAACAGACATAGCTCACATACCCCCGGCTCTAGCTCCGGCCACCCCGACTCCCGCAGCCTCCTTTGTGGGTGAGGAAGAACTCGGCCAACCTCAGATGGAGCCCCGGTAAAGCCAAGAGCTCAGAGAGGAAAGGGTTTGGTCTGGCATGACCCTTGCCAGCCCTTCCACTTGGCTGGGTGATGTCCCCCAGCCCGAGTCCTGGGGCCCCTTGGCAGTACCATGGAGCAACTGACACCCCTCCTACGGCTGGGGGACCCCGGAGCTATGGAGCCATGGGCACAGCCTGCCTGGCAGAGCTGGATTCCAGGACAGGAGGGCGAACCTGGAGGTGCAGCCCCAAGCACTACCGATACTCCGGCAGCTCTGCAGGTTGGAGAACTGAGGCCTTTGGAGAGCTCTGAGCCCGAGGGAGCCTGGAGCCCTGGGCCTGTGGGGGACATTGACCCTGAAGGAACAGAAACTGGGCTGCCCAGCTTGGGGCAGCAAGCAGCGAGCTCCGGACCCAGCTGCCCAAGGCTGGAGGACGAGGAGGTGGGGGCTTTCCATGAGGTAAGGGAGCGGTGGAGGGCTTGGTCTGAGAGGTGGGGGCCTCTCCTCACGGGCCTGATATGCAACCCCGCTGCCCACCTCTCCTCTCCTGGTCTGTCTCCATCTGTGGTTTCCAATTCTGTGACTATCTGTCCTCCCTTCTTTGGACAGGAATCTCAGTGGCTCCATTTCTTGCCATCTGTGTGTCCTTCTGACTCTCTGTCTATCTGTCTACATTTGGCCGTGCCCCTACCCCGCCCCCCCCCTCTGTTACTCTCTCTCCGACAGTCTGTCTGTCTGTGTCTCCTCCTCCCTGAATCTCTGTTCTTGGGGGCTGGAGGATACTGGGGTACGTGGAGCTATATGGTGGAATCAGAGTGCAGAGAAAGCAGATTTAGGGGAGGGGGCTCAGTGTTGAGCTGAGCCAGGGAGGACAAGGTTTGGCGTGGGTGTGAGATGGAGGGAGTGGACTTTGGGGGAGGGGACCCAGGGACCATGGAGCCTGGAGGGGTGGGCATGGGAACTTGGGCTGGCATTTCCCTGGAGGAGGTGAGCAGGGATGGGAAGAATTGGGGACTACCAGAGAGGGTCCCAGGATCGGGGGTGCCCACGCGGGCAGGGAGGACTAGATAGCCCCTTCTCCTGGACCTCCTGAGCCGACTCTGAAAGCCTGGGATGTGGGGGAGAACCTTCCTGTCTGCGTGTCTCCGGGGGCCATGGTGGGAGAGCGCTCGCTGACTAGGTCGGGTGGGTTCCTGAGGCCCTGCGCCCTGCCTTTCCCGTGCCAGGGCAAGCTGAGCGTGGGCTTCGGGGACAGGCCCAGTCTGGAGCTGCTGAGGGCCCTGAGGGAGCTGCGGCAGCACTGTGCCCTCCTCAAGGAGGAAAACCAGAGGCTGGTGAGTCCTGGGTCCTGGCTGGAGCTGGGGGAAGGCAGGCTCAGACACTCTGCCCCTCTGCCTCGGTGTCCTCCTCATCCCATATGTACCTCCCGCCGTGGGGGCCACAGGGAGGTGACATGAGCCCTGATCTAGAGTTGCTGAGGACTCCACTGTGAGCCCAGGGCTCTAGCCCAAGGCCCGGGCAGTCAGGACTGGGTCAGCGGGGGTGCTTCCCACATGCCCTATCCTGGCTGACCCCTTGTCAGAGGAAGAGCAGCTTTCCAGAGACGGAGGAGAAGGTGCGGAGGCTGAAGCGAAAGAACGCCGAGCTGGCGGTCATTGCCAAGCGCCTGGAGGAGAGGGCCCGGAAGCTGCAGGAGACTAACCTGAAGGTGGTGAGGATGGGAGGCCGGAGGCTGCAAGATGAAGGCTGTGTGACCAGGGAAGAGGGAAGTCAGGGCTGGGCCTGAGGGGTGGGGTTTAGGAGTCGTGGACTCTTAGCACCCAGGAAAGCAGGAACTCGGGGGGCCAAAGTGTAGGAAGGGCAAGTGCTGGCCAGGCTAGGAGGCTGAGGCTTTCTGGAGCTACAGGAGGGAGGGAAGGGCTGGGCGGGGAGTTCCTGAGCAGGCAGGGAGCAGGATTCTGGATTACCACGTGCTGGTGCTGGCTACAGTCTCCTGCTGAGCTCATCTCTGGGTGCAGAGCCTGTGGGGGGCAGGGATGAAGACCCATCACAGTGGCAGCCCTAAATTAGCAGCATCCTTTGAGCTGAAACTAGGATGTAAGGTTAACTCTGTCAGTCCTGCTTGAGGATTGCGGGGGTCAAATGAGGCTGTGGGTCCCCTGACGCCCCAGACACAGGGTAAAAGCAAGAGGCCACACTTGTAGGTTTTCAACCTAACCCCTCCTTTGGGAGGAGCTGAGAAGTGGGAGAAGTGCCCCAGCCCTCAGATGACCATTGGCCTTACCCCTCCTCTGGCCAGGTGAGTGCCCCTGTGCCCCGTCCAGGGCCCAGTTTGGAGCTGTGCCGAAAGGCCCTGGCCCGCCAGCGAACCCGGGACCTCAGTGAGACAGCCAGCGCCCTGCTGGCCAAGGACAAGCAGATTGCTGCTTTGCAGCGGGAGTGCAGGGAGCTGCAGGCCAGGCTCACCCTGGCGGGCAAGGTGCGAGGAGGCCCTGGTCACCCCATCCAGCTCAGTCCTACCCAGAGCCACCTGCCTGGCTTGTTGGGATGTGGACCGAGATGTTAATGAGATGCAAATGAAGCGGGAAGGTGGAGGCTGCTGGGGAGTAGGTTCCCCTGGCAACGGCCCAGGTGGGAGCGGGGAGAAGCCTGAACCGAAGGGGGCGGAGCCATGAGTCCCAGACCTGGGTATTTCTGTGCTCCAGGCTTCAGGCTGTGTGCCGGTGGGTTTGGCTGTATGAATCCACACATGTCTAACACTTGCGTCAAGTGATGTTCACAAGGCATTTAGCACAGTGCCGGGCACACGGCGAGTGCCCAGTAAATGAGTCACCGTATGTCTGCACGCGGGCTAGCAAATGCTATTCGCACGCACCTATGACCAAGGCATGTACTCGTATGCATGGGAGGATGTGCACGTTCCCGCGCAGCAGAGCCCCTCTAGCAAGGGGACAAGTTGGGGGAGGGGGTGGGCAGGGGTTTAGGCCAAACTCCCCTCCCTGTGCCCCAACCCAGGAGGGCCCCCAGTGGCTCCACTTGAGGGACTTCGACCGACTGCTTCGCGAGTCCCAGCGGGAGGTGCTGCGGCTGCAGAGGCAGATCGCCCTGCGCACCCAGCAGGAGCCGCCCCCGCCGCTCCGGCCCCCGGGCCCCACTGTCCGGGTCAAAGCAGGAGCGCCCACTCCCAGGGCCCCGGGAGAGGTGAGCGCCGGCACCCGGGCAGGTGTGTGTAGATGGAGGGTGGGGGCCCCGGGATCTCCTCCTAAAACGCGCTCAGAGCCCCGAGGATCCGGTGGCGGCGTGCGCACCCCAAGGGCTGGGGACCTTTCCCGACACCCAGCGGTAGG